GCTCAGGTTGAAGATGGTTTCAACTATCCCGCACAGTTGGTCTGCACAGGACTTCAGGAGCCTGGAGCTGATGCCGTCTGGACCCGCAGCCTTCCTCGTCTTTATCCTCCTCAGCTGATCTCTCACCTGACAGGTAGTGAAGGACAAGCTGGAGCAGGGGGGCTGTGTGCTGGGGGGTGGAGGTGATGAGGTGGGGGGAGGGGTGGGGGGTGGTGAGATGTCCGGGAGAGCGGGGGTGGGGGAGGTGTCGAAACAGTGTGCCAGGAGTGTAGGTTGGGGGAAGGTGAAGGTGAGGATGAGGGTGGTTGCAGCCGTGATGTCTGGGCCAGGGGAGGGGCAGACTGATCAAATTTATTGAAGAACAGATTCAGATCATCCACCCACTTCTGGTTGCCTCTGGCCTGGGAGTCTGGCTGTTTGTGTCCTGAGATGGTTTTCAGACCTCTCCAGACTCCGCTGACGTCGTTCTGCTGCAGCTGTTCTTCCATCTTCTTTTTATATCCTTCCTTTCCCCGCCTGATGTTTCTCCATAGCTCCTTCTGCACGGCCTTCAGCTCCTCCTTATTTCCAGAGTTAGAAGCTCTCTGCTTTCTCCTTCAGGAGAGCTTTTATATCTGGAGTAATCCAGGGTTTGGTGTTGGAGAAGCAGCGTACAGTCCTGGTGGGTATGGTGCTTTCCACACAGAAGTTAATATAATCCGTAATGCATGATGTCATACTGTCAATGTCCTCCCCATGGGAATCACTGAGTACCTCCCACACAGTGGCCCCTGCAGCAATGCTGTTCCTTGATAGTGATGTGCCCAGATTTACACTATCTATCATTCACAAACACAGCCAGCCCTCCTCCTTTCCTCTTACCGCTGTCCTGTTGTATCTGATGAGCTGGAATCCGTCCAGCGTGGCGATCATGTCCGGTACTTCCGCGTTCAGCCATGTCTCGGTAAACACCAGCATGCTGCTCTGCCGGTACTCCCTCTGATGGTGAGTCAGCGCCGACAGCTCGTCCACCTTGTTGGGGAGCGATCTTATGTTCCCCGTGACGACGGAGGGGTTTGTACCATCTCCTCCAGTGTCGGCGCTGCACTCCGGCGCGACATCCCCGTCTCCTTCTCCGTAGCTCGTCGGGAATGTCGTGCCTCTCCTCGGGCTGCACCGCGGTGTGTTGTAGTGCTAACAGCTGGTCCCGGGTGTAAACAATGGAGGCACGGCTGGGCGCCGGACCCCCGCACATGATCGTATCCATAGCAAAAAGGGAGAAAAACCACTATAAAGAGAGCGGTCTTCGTCTCCATAACAAAGCAAAACATAACTGCTAGCTAGCCAAACTTAAAAAAAACTCAAAGTGAGAAAGTTAAAAAGAAAAGATAGAGAAAAGCTCGGCGTGAGCAGGAGCTGCTGTAACAGGCGTCCGCACTAGAGGCATCATCTTGCCAAAAAAAGGGAAAAAAAAACAAAAAAAAACATACAGTTAACTGGAGCACAGACACTAGTGTTAACCAAAAAAACAGATAACTAATCAGAGCCCCAACGCTGTAGGTAACAAAATGAGACCATATGCTGGAGGAAGGCAGTGCACACGTAGCCTTCACCAACAGAGGTTGATTATAACAAACTCAAAATAAACTTTAGTACGGATGTTACCGCTAAATAAACAACGGGCTATACACACTGGCAGCTGGGGAGCGCTAACACAACCCTCCAGCAGAAAAAACCCAGAAACAGAGAACATTAACTCAGTCAGAGTAACTCAAGTGCCAGGAAGATGTTGCGCGAACGCAACTTTCACCAACAAGTTTAACAGAGCAGGTATTATAACATTAGTTTGCAAACAGCTTAGGAGTTACATACCTTCTCTGGAGAGGGAAGTGAAACACTGCCTTACCGGAAAAAAGGGACGCACTGCGTCCACACTGAAACAGACTTAGTTAAACATGTCTCAAGAGGGAAAGAATGCCGTCGCAGTTCCTGGAGGGCGAATGTCCACTGCTCCGACGTCAAATGGCCACGGAACTGCTAGCAACGGGATATAAGTTTGAAATGCAGTTGCAATGCTTCCAAAAGCAACCTGTGTGCGAGAATATGAAAAGGAAATGATCCTCTGATGTTACCGGAAGATATAGTCTCTTTCGGATCATCCAGGGGTCACAGGTGACATTGTTGGCATACATACTCGAACTGCGCATGCGCAAAGGGGAATATTCAGTGCTTCAAGCACCACCTCTGGTGGTCAGCAGGGATGAAATAGAACCGGTATGTCTGGGTACTTTTGTCACAATGAGTTCCACAACAATACTGTTTTAATGTCTTATGTGTCTATTAGGGATGCACCGATTGTGAAATTCTGGACAGGTACAGATACCGATGTTTAAAATAACAATTTGGCCAATAGCTGATACTGATGTTTTTTTGTTGTTGTTTATTTTGGTTTTGTTGTTATTTATTCTCCCTTTTGTACCAGGGAAACAAAGAAATCTTCATTCTAAAAAAATAGCTGATGTGTTTTAAAGTAATGAATCCCTTCATTACACTACCTCTAAATGTATCACAAATCACAAATTCAATCATACACATTTATGAAACAACCTTTAAATAACCTTTCACATGAATAACATTTTTTAAAAAAAAAACTACTATAAAAGCCTTTTTACTCTATATAATACATAATAATTCAACAACTCCAATATCTATTTTATATTGCCATGAAAACTTAAAGAAATTTTTCCTTTAGACAGCTGGATTTATTCAAGTTTCTAACCAAAAACTTCGTTTTACTACTACAAGATTACATTTGAACACAACATAACATAGTCATTTTTACTGAAGAGAGCTTGAACACATCATAATGTTACTCAATGCAACTTTATTGTTTTTTTTTTTGTTTTGTTTTTTTACAATTATATACTTATTCTGAATTTGATGACTGCAACGCGTTTCAATAAAGTTGGGACAGCAGCAACAAAAGACTGTGGAAGTTGTGGAATGCTCAAAAAACACCTGTTTAGAACATCCCACAGGTGGTATAATAATAAAAACAAATAAATTCTGGGCATGCACTATAGGAAGTGCAAGAGGATGTAGGAGTAACCTTTGCAGGTTATGAATTGAGCGACCAGCTCTTGTTAGAATCATGGGCTGCCTTGTTTGAATTTATTCTCCATCATATAATACATCCTTTTTTTGACTCATGCAATGCTGCTCTATCTCAATGCTATGTGATCTCGGAGTTATCCATCTCCATCCAGGCTGCCCAAAGAATCATACCTCCCCCTCTCTCTCTCTCTCTGCAGTATATCCACCACCGGCTCATCCACCTGACGCCTGCCGACTACGATGACTTTGTCAACATCATTCGCAGCGCTCGAGGTGCTTTCTGCTTGACGCCCGTGGGTATGATGCAGTTTAACGATGTGCTTCAGAACCTGAAGAGAGGCAAGCAGACCAAGGAGCTGTGGCAGCGCATCTCCCTGGAGATGGCAACCTTCTCCCCCTGAGCAGCATGCTCATGGGGAGAGTGTGCTGGGCCTGGGCTTGAGGTGTCCCATCCAGCGCCCACTCAGCTTCCGACATTGTCACTGCCACTGCACTGAGTGGGCAACGTTTGTGCTGTCAGGGATCCTGCTCTCTGCTACGTGGACTCAAACAAATACAGCACACAGGCAGTACAATCAGCTCCCGTACCCCTGACCCACAGAGACTTTGTTTTTTATGTGTGTTTGTCCACCCAGAGCTCAGAGGAGGAGCCAGGTCATCTTCCTGCTTTCCTCTGTTGTTGACTGACTCCTCACTTGTGTTTTATCATGGTTCATGTTTGTGTAAATGTGGAATTAATGTGTACTCCTTCTATCTTCATCTAACTGGCCTCTTCCATTTCCCTTAAACTGAAGATATTGACTGGTATCTCTCACCCTCCATCCTCACTTCATTTCTAGTATTTTTTAGTTTTGTTAAGCTTTCTTTTGATTGAAACCACTGAGTATGACTCATTTTCATGCTGCAACATTCCTGTCCAGAGTGGTATGTGCTGTGAGGCCTCTTTCACCAAAAGCTTGTCACTATGGATCTGAATCTTTGCAGTGTGGATGAAAAGGAAGATTTGCAAGGAAAAGGGGTTTAATATGAGAAATTATATTGTGAGTACGGGTGAGGATTTTTCAGTATTTTGTTTAATCTTTTTTGATACTTTGTATAGAATATTACATGTATGCAGATAGGAATGGGAAGAAAATGAGAGAATGTGAAAAGTGCTGTTGTTGTTGTATGGGATCCATATTTACATTTCAGCCTGCCTGAGGAGTGACATGAAAACAGCTCCAGACCAAGCCAGAGGCCAACAAACTACTGCTGGGCCAAGCAGGGCCAGCAAGGGCTTACTAAGTGTCCAACATGTGGATCACTCTTATATTATGATTTGTCCATAGGGCAAATATATAATTGGTAAGTGTTTTCAAAGACTGTAGTTGAGATCTGAGCAGTTGGTTTACAAAATATAAATTTTGAATGGGAAGCATCTGGGCTGTCCCAGATGCACACAGTGGATGAGACAGGAGCTGTGTCTCATTTTTGGCCGTCTTTTTCAAACCTCAATCTTCCAAACTGAATATATGCTGGTGTATTCAGTGCAGCTGAGAACTGCATCTGCTTAGATTTGGAGGCTCTTTGAGGTCTTTAGTATCCCAAAATGCACTGTGTGCAGCTCACTAGTCTCTGTGAAGCTTCAGCTGTGATTTTGTGATGTCACTCCAGTGACTCCTCCACAGACTGTTCTGCATGGGGATAGTGCAGTTACTAGCTGACCTCCAAAGGTCACCTCTTTAGAAACCATAACTTTAAAACAGTGGCCCCTGAAATGAGACACAGCTGTGGTGTGGCTCTCTCTGCTTGGCTTATCTGGGTAATGCAGGAGTCCAAACACTCACCAAGACCTGTCAGAAATTGGACATGAGTATGTTTGAGTGGTCCCACTGTTCAGCGTGGCTAGCTCACAGACATAGTGCTGTTATATGCACCATCTCTGTCCAGGCAGCTGCTGTGGTTCTGAACCTGCCTCTCTGATTGGCTTTGGACCTCACAGGTGAAGGTGACTTGGCAGAAAATGTACTGTGATATTTTTGTATTCCTCAAAAAGTGTAGCTTGATTGAAAATATCTATGTGCTGATTGCAAAAGGTTCTAATTTAGAGTGAAAAAAGGTAAAAGCAATACTAAAAGTGTAGAGTTTACTTAATAAAGATAATTCAAAAAACTAAGTTTGTGTGACTCGTGTGGGATTCAGTGAGAACTTTTGCTCATTTTACCTGTATGGGTCAACAGGTGGAACCGCGCTCTGGTCCTGAGGCTGCCTGCACACCCTCAGCAGTGTCCACCAGAGAGATTAGTGGGATAATTTAACAGATCATTAGTCAGTCAGGTCCTAAATGGTTTTTCCCAGCAGCATAGACCATTTAGGTTGCATCTTTGATTTTTCCATAATTCTGTTCATCCTAAAAAGATGCTAAAGCACCAGCTAGGTTAGGTTAGGTGCGTCCTCTTGTTACACTGAGTGAGATCCTGTCTCTCACAGGCCTGCTCATCCTCATCTGACTGCCTTAGTTTCTTTGAAAACAACTCCATCCCTCTAGCGGAGATGTGATGCAGGGCACTAATGGGTGCCCTTAAAATGGAGAATACTCAGTGCACTGCCATGTAGGCTGTCCTACATGCTAGAAGCCTTTCTGTGCACTGATGTAGAGGTCTGCATGGATTCATTTTTAAAAACCTGCACCCGCCCATAAAGCTCAGTGCCAGACCTGACCCAGTACCTGTTACATCTAAGTCAAAGCCGTACCCGGTGAAAGTCCTGCGACCCGGCCCACACCAGTGATTAAACACACACAGGCTACAGTCACTCACATTAAGCTGGGTTCTCTGTTCTTGAATTACAAATCCAGCAGAGGAGAAGTCTCTTTCACTGGCTACGCTCGATGCCAGGATGGTGAAAACATTCCACATAGTCACAACTTTCTTTTTTTTTTTTTTACCTTGTTGGGATTCACAGGACCACAGATGATTTGTCATTTGTTAAAATCTAAACTGGACATGTGAAGGCTTTTCCTCTTTGCATGCTCTTTGTTCTTCAAACAAAGAGAACTATTTGACACCCATCTCCAGGATGTCCCACCTCACACCTCATTGAGAGACAGGTCTCAAAACTTGATTGGACAGCACTTTTATAGTGACATGTGACTCTGTGATGTCACAGGCATCTGTAGAAGGTCTGCTCCCCTCAGACAATCTTTCTCTTACTGGGGAGCTGCCAAGCCACCCACACCTCTTCCCGGCTGGGCCTGGACCAGCCCAGATGCCCAGACCCTTGCTCCATTGCCCCAAACCACTAAAGGAAGGGCAATTGATCACAGACTCTCTAACCTGAACCAGAAAGTTAGAGGTGGAAGCACAAGGTCTGCAACTAGCGTTCTAGCAACAAGGAGAACCAAGTGAATTAGCACCCAGCGTCTAACTCTGTAAAGACCTCAAGCGACCAGCTTCCTCAGCACCTTTGGAACAAAGGACACACCAAAGACTGCATGTGGAACCACAGCTCTTTCCAGCCTTCTTCCGCTGGCTAACAAAGCAGCACACCACCAAGTGACGTAACAACTGGGCATAGCTTTATCACAGCTTTACAGGCTAAGCAAGACTGTTTAACTTGTTGTATGTGATTTAATGCTGTCATTGAGTTATTGTTGAGATTGTTTGCAGTCAGGTCATTGGTTAGTTGGCTTCGCCAAAGCTAATTGTTTGGTTTGCTAATACTGTTCACAGACAGATTCTTGCACACAACAAAACAATCTCTGCACTAATCCAGACTGTTTGCAACACAAATCACATTGACATAGACTCATTAACAAATAGGCTTTCAACAGAGCTTCACCCAAACAGGCATCTCAGTTCCCGCTTCTTTTCCTTTGTCTTTGTCCTGACCACATGGTCAAACAAACACCTCCCCCGATCTGAAGCCAGCTTTGATTCAGCCATTTTGGTAGTTCTCTGTTGTCAGCCATTTTGTTTTGTAGGCCAAACAGCTCTTTGATCACCACACCCGCCTTTGTCTCTCTCTCTCTCTCTCTCTCTCTCTCTCTCTCTGTCTCTGTCTCTGCACACACGCACACACACACACATACACACCAAGCTTGTATATAGTTAGTTAGAATTTCTGTGTTTGGTTTTGCTTTGCTTACTTTGTTAATAAATATGATTCTTTGGAATCATACCTGCTGTTTGATGTTGCACAAGAGTGAATTAATAGTCAACCTCTGCTGCGTCAAGAACTCCGAAATCCTTCAGGCTTTACTTTTAATTTTGGTTATTGTCATTAATTTTATTATTAATCAAAACTACAAATTAATAGTTTAGCATATTTTATGAGACTGATATCTTTAACTGGTTATCATTTTCCCTTTACGGGAATGGTGCCCCACGAGGTGGTTTAATGTTAATTATGTCACATTATTCAACATAATTATTAATTGTTATTAATAATTATTCATTATTTCCGCTAGCCAATTTACAACATTAATGGTGTCCCCTCAGTGAGGCCTAATATTGTTGTTCCCAACATAATTGGTGCCGCCATGTGACACCCTAAAAATGTTGACCCCAACATAATTGGAGCCCTGTAGCGAGGCATAGTACTGTTGACATTCATTCATATTGTGCAATATTAATATCAGTGACATTTTTGGTTCACACCAAAAATCTTTGATTCCATTCTTAAACTACCCAAAAGTCTTTACGTTCACCACTAGTCTGCTACAGCAGCAGACATTCGGCTGTACTTACAAACAAGCACATTGTGGTGAGAATTATTTTATTCATAAAGATAAAGCAATTTGAGAGACATTGTGTAACTGATCACCGCTATCTTAAACCCTCATAGTGTTACATAGAGTTTGTTTGCTGCTTGCTTTTCAAGTTGACCTACCCTGTAGGAACTTGTAATGCTGTGTTCCCACCAAACGCAAATTCGCGCGTCAAGATTACATACAAAGTCAATGCAAAGACGTGATTAGACGCGTCTAACGCGACGCGATGGACGCGATGGACGCGATAGAGGCGTCTAGTGCGGCGCGATAGACGCGAAAATCGTGTCCAACGCCTCATCGCTCGAGTTGAAAATATTGAACTTTTGAGGCGAATTCGCGTGACGCTGTGCCGCGAAAGCCAATCAGCATTGAGATTCTCCCGACGTCACTGGTGTGTGTCAACAACGTCCAGTTGTTGACACAGCAATAAACTGCTACTCACCAGAGACAGATGGACAGATGCTCCGCAGCTGAAATGGAGCGCCTGTAGTTGGTGTCCTGCCGGGAGATCCTGGCGCCAACCCTCGCCCACAGGTCCTCAAACTGGGCCCCAGTCAGTCTGAAGTACCGCTGAAAGCGGCTATCATCCAGACAGAGTTCCTGGAGGAGGTGGTGAAACTCGCCGAGCTGGATGCGCTTCAGGATAGGGTAAACCCAGAAACGACGGCGTTTGGCCCTCCGACGCATCTGGGACTTCCAGAGCAGGTATAAAGCAGCGATGGTGGTTATCTCAGTCATGGTCGTCAGTGGCTGCCCGGAGCTATATGATACTATGTGTCTACTCTCAACTCTTTTAGAAACTACAATGTTTACCAAGCAGCTCTCTAAGAAACTTATTATTATAATATCATTATTTTCATTAATGTTGTTGTAAGCTACTGTCATTACCGTCTGTCCTGCATCTCTCTCTCTCTCTCTCTCTCTCTCTCTCTGTCTCTCTTTCTGTCTCATTGTGTCATACGGATTACTGTTAATTTATCATGTTGATCTGTTCTGTACAACATCTATTGCACGTCTGTCCGTCCTGGAAGAGGGATCCCTCCTCAGTTGCTCTTCCTGAGGTTTCTACCGTTTTTTTCCCCATTAAAGGGTTTTTTGGCAGTTCCGGTAATGGCGGCTTGCTGAGAGGACGTGCACGCTTAGGCTCTGCTATCTTTCTGTAAAATTCTGGACAATACTCGTTATATGAGACATTGAACGACATCTTAGGACAGCTGTGATGCCTCTCTCGCAAAGGAAAAACGACAGCAAGCCGACTCAGTTGAAGTTATCCAACTTCACTTCTAAGCTGAGCCCTGAAGCTAACCATGACGTTAGCGAGGCTAATACAAGCACATGCGAGGCAATGGAGGAGGCAAATGGTGAGCCGACTGAGAAGACGATGACGGCCGAAGCGGGCTCAGACGCAATACTGGCTGCAATTGCAAATTTGAAATCTGATTTTTCCTCCAAACTTGATGGTATTTTGTCAGCAATAGAGAATGTGAAGAAAGATGTTAATGAGTGTGCCAAACGGGTCGGTGAGGCGGAGGTCCGGGTATCTGCAGCAGAGGACAGCATCACCAGTCTGCAGGCGAGCGTTCAGGCCCTTGAAAATAAAAAAAAGGATCTCGAGGAAAAAGTGCTGGATTTGGAGGCCAGATCGCAACGATCTAACTAGAGACTGGTTAATCTACCCGAAGGCGCGGAGGGAGAGGACGCGTGCGCCTTCTTGGAAAACTGGCTGCAGGAGGCTCTGAACTTGGCACCGTTACGCACCGCTCTGATACTGGAGAGAGCGCAGCGGGTCGGCCAGAAGAGTACATCAAACACCGCTGCACCAAGGACTCTTATCATGCAGTTCTTAAATTACAAGGATAAAGCGACCGTGCTAAGAGCTGCCAGGGCAAAGAGACAGATACTATTCAAGAACCACCAGGTGAGATTGTACGAGGACCTCGCAACCGGCGTACACAAAAAACAAAAAGAGTTTGATGCCGTGAGACAGCAGCTTCGAGCCATGGGGATCCGATACGGCATGATTCCTCCCGCACAGCTGCTGGTGACACACAACAGACAGTCTCTTTTTAACCAGCCAGCTGAAGCAGAGAACTTTGTAAGGACTCTGAGAGCAGAAAGTAGACCTGGGTAAGATAATGTAGTCACCCTCACATTGTAGTGTATTGATATGGGTGGATAATCACTGAGCCTTAAGTTAAGTAACTAAAAAAAAAAGAGGGTAAATAATTTGCTTATTAGATTTGACATATGTTGCCACAGAGGCTCACAGCCAATATTAATACTGTAGCCTAATTTTCTGAACGTATATAATAACGAGTTTTCTGTTTTTTATAGCGGGGTGGGGTAAGAGGAAACGTGTTCAGGCACAGTCGGTTGATCCTCACCTTTGTGTGGAACAGCCTTTA